ATGGCGGGGGCGGGTGTTTATGTTTATGTGTATATGTGTGTGTGGGAGTTTGTGTGTGCGTGTGTACGTGTATATGAGTGCTTGTGTGTGTGGTTATATCTGTGTGTGTGTGTGTGTTTGTGTGTGTGTATAATGCGTGTGTATGAGTGTGTATGCGTGAATGTGTGTGTGGGGGGGGGGGGGGTGTATGATGAGAAAGTATGTGTATGTGAGTGTGTATGTGTTGTTTTGTGTGTGTGTGTGTGTGTGTGTGTGTGTGAGTGTGCGTCTGTGTGTCTGAGTATGTGTGTGTGTGTGTGTGTGTAGATTGGGAGAGAGGATTCTAGCCCTATATTACCATAGGCCATGGACACACGCCTGACCTATACGGACAAAACGTGTATCATTATCATTACTAATCCCTCTTGAAGTGCACTCTGGTTGTATCTGACCTTTGTGCTGCTATCACAGTTTTGGCACCAGCGTCTGTGGTGTTACAGTGGTTACTGTAAAGTTCTGTTCCCGAGAGGGTACATTTTGCATCAAGTATCAGAATCTGTTTGCTCGCTATGATGATAATCATTTCCCACTCAATCAGAGTTATCCTTCACAGGCAGCGTCGAAGCAGCCCGCCTCTTAACAAATCATGTCGATGGTGGGTGGCGTTAGAGTGAAACAACAAAAGATAAATGATAAAAGCAGTTTTAGTTAGGGAATGATGCTGCTACTGTCGCCTTTGGGTTGTTTAATTCGTTGAATTCAGTAGTATTTTTTTTTTTTTTAATTGCTATCATCGTTCTTATTATTGAAATCATTCTTAGTTTTATCATCATCATCATCATCATCATCATCATCATCATCATCATCATCATCATCATCATCATCATCATCATCATCATCATCATCATCATTATTATTATTATTATTATTATTATTATTATTATTATTATTATTATTGTATTATTTTTACTACTACTACTATTATTATTATTATTATTATTATTATTATTATTATTATTATTATTATATCTATTGTTATCATTATTATTATTACTATTACTAGTGTTTCGTCGTTGCATTTTTCTCCTATTCTCTTGCCCCTTTCATGGCTGTGTCACCGTGCTTAATTAAATGATTTATAGCTGCCACGGTTGAAGTACACAAAATGAAATTCAATAAGATTATGAGAGTGGTTTAAAAAACAACTGCTTACTCATTGTGAAAACCAGTATTAAGATTAATGTTTGCAAAACTAAGTGTGCTCACCTACAACGAAAAAATGAAAAGGTAGATTAGTGCATTGTTCCATAGCACGGCTTCACCGAAAGAGACGTGGTGAAAATAATGAGGCATTCAGAGCGTTAAGGTTCCAATCAGTGGAAGTCGTAGAAGGGTGACATTTTTATCGCTACTACAGCAATTTGTTGTTGTCACTGCCCCTACCGTTCTTAATTGGTTTTTGTTGTTTGTTTGTTTGTTTGTTTTTTGTTCGTTTGTTTGTTTGTTCCCTTTGGGAATGGCCTAAAGACACTACAGTCAGTGGCATTGTCCCGGGTGGAGTTCTGATGTCAGTCCTACGCACTTCACAACAAAATGTTAGTTTGGAGGTGGGATCCAATTGTTTCTTGTGTCTCCACAAGAACTGATTTGAAGAGAGAGATAGAGAGAGGGGGGGGCAGACAGACAGACAGACAGACAGACAGACAGACAGACAGACAGACAGACAGACAGAGGTGGGAGAGCTGGGAGTGAGGGTGAGAGAGGGGATCTGTTGTACTCTATCGGAGAACTTTTTTACGCATCTAAAACTTCGTAAAATGTTTGTCGTCGTCGTGTGTAAGGAATGTTTGTAGTGAGGTTAAATGTTTCACGTGTTTTGTGATCAAGAATTGTCAAAACAAGTGTCTGCATGAAAAAAAAACTTGTTTTCTTAACGAGGCTTCAAACAGCAGTCGAGACCTCAGTTTAAACCATGCGCAACAACACACTGAGAGTGATTTTAAATCACCATGGAGGTTGTGTGTCAGTGTTTCATTCTGCACTTCATTCAGAGCGTCTTTGCTGTCACTGTCAAGTGTCATGGAGGGGTTTGTCACAAGGGAAGGTTGGTCTCATGGTTACCGGCTATCGATTTTGATAAGACAAAGACTCTTATCGAACTACAGTTTGGAGATGCTTCACACCAGGATGCATGAGGACAGTCTCAAGCCTGTTGAACGCTGAGAATATGTAAAGTTAGTATCAATAACCCTTAAAATTTTGAATCAATAATCATGCCTCTTTCCAGGAGCTGCTCGCTATTCCAGTGTAAGAAAATATGGATCTAGATCTATTGGTAAATAATAGAGTAAAATTTCTCGCTATACCAGTGTTTGCTTGTTTTAAGTAAGTCACACAAAGCTCTTGTCTCCCCCCTCTCTCTCTCTCTCTCTCTCTCTCTCTCTCTCTCTCTCTCTCTCTCTCTCCATAAGCAAAACTCCTCAAAAACGCCACGCCTCCATTCTTGCCAGTGTCAGTGGCTAAACATTAAGAAAAAAAAGCTTACCTACTTCTCAATTCGACACTTCAGTCAAACGGTTTCAAATTAAGTCAGCACGACGTCTTGTTTTTACCGTTATTATTACTGAAGCAAGCTAGTTTGACACAGTTTCTCACAAAATTTTATGTTCGCACAAGCCGATTCCAAGTTAAATTTTCTGTTGGTTTGGAAATGTGACTTAGATCTAGATCTAGTACTACTTTCAAGAATAGTATAAGACATATCTATTCTCTCTTAGTTCACTTAGTTCCCACCAAGGTCACCCTCGTGTCGTGTCGGCCCGGCTCTGATACTTTGTTCAATAGAAGTAGATCCATCTTTCAGACCGGGAGGGTGGAATTCAACTCCAATAGCAACAGCAGCAATAATAGCAGCAACAACAAAGGCATTAGCAACACAATGTGGTCATATATAATTAACGAAGGTAAGAAGTGTTGCAAGAGAGTAACAGACACAAAAAGAGGAGGGATAAGGACGACAATAGTTTGATAGAAAAGAAGGAGCAAAACACATCTGAGCACCCGTCAACCATCCTCATTTTTTTGGTCTTTAGTGTTTTTGGATTGCTAGGTCAAAGAATTGTGGAAGGCACGGGTGTTTGCAAAGTAGCAGTTAAGCACCCTGCCGTGGCACGCAGAAAACACGAGTTCGATTCCTGCTTGGGGAGATTTTTTTCGAGCGTTTTTCTGCTGGTACGTTGTATCCTTCTCAGCCTGGGATGGCCTTGATAGACAAGGTCAAAGCCCGTCTCCTAAATCATTTAAAGTGCGTCGATGAGAGAGTAAAGACACCTACATTTTAAAAACAAATTGCAAACTGTCTCCCCCCCCCCCCCCCCCCCCCCCCCGGTGAACGACATGGCATCTAAGTTTTAGTATGTTTTGACCACAATGCTCGTTGTCGTTGAGGTCTTTGGTGTTTTAGACAGCCAGGCCAAAGACAAGTCTTAGTAGATTGTGGTCAGAAATGGCTTTGTCAGTGGCAGCCAGATTGCCAACTACTGGTTTGTTATTTGATGTAATGACAAGGTTCAAGACGTGACAACAATTGACTGTATAGGGCTGATCACCATTTGGTTAGAGTCATTCCCATCTAAAACAGAATTGAGTTAAAGGCATGCTGTCACAGACGGTCAAGCTGTTTTCTGGTTTTTACACTTCTATTACTGAACGCATAGCAAAGAATTGCTGGGTTGTGGTCTTTTTGACTCCTCCATCGCTTTCGGGGGAAATTTTATGTCACATCTCTGACTGATATAATTGTCTTGGGGCCATTGT